AGAGGCATTCATACTTTCCTTCCAAGCGGTTATGTTGTATTTCAAGATGGTAAACAAATGCCTTAGTCTTAGCTTCAGTTAGGATGGCGTTCCTTGGGCTTTGTTTCCGAACATAGGAAATCAATTTTTCCCAGTCGTTCCTGGTAATTAAATGAATTAAATGCATTATCAAATTTGAACTGAACGGTACTAAACTTGATATGATGTACAACCCGTTTAGGTGCGATAGAACTCAGCGTTATTAGTACCGATCTGAACTAGCTATTTTACCCTGCCAAGCATATAAATTCAAATTTGCGCGCTACGTTATAATCAACTTGACAGGATAAAAATTTGAATTTGTTGAAAAATGCCGGACAAAAGACCTGCTTGGCATATTTTGTCAAAATATATAGGTACGGATCATTTTCTGAAATAAAAGTATTGCAATAATTATTCCAGTATACTGGCTCATTATTACATACCTTATAACTATTGTTTTATCATGCGGAAATTTGCCCAAGGACTTCTGAACAAATTCTTCCTGTAATTGAATTCGAACCGACATCATGTTTTCACCTTCCTCCGACTCGTAAACAAGGGTATAACCGTTAGCAAAAAACTCACTCATAGTGCGAAATATCTGATAACGTGGTGGAATTACAAGGTTAGTCGTCAAATAGAATTCATACTGTGCGATTAGCATAAAGCTTGTGAACAGCATGGACACAAAAATCCATTTTGAAACATACTTCCTCATTAAGGTTTGTCTAACAAACGACGAACAAATTGTAAACATTGCCTCTCCCATGCTTCGCATTAACTCAAAATTGACCCAAATTTTCTCAGGTTTGAGTGAATCACTGAAAATTCTGAAGATCGCTACAGCCGAGACTATTAATATGCAACCCAAGTACACCTCTTGCGTAAATGGTGACACCCAAACGGCCAAATCAGTATTTTCCGACCAAACATTGAAGTTACAGTATATCGCGTGATATCCGGAATATCGGAACGAGTTTAGTGCATTCACATGGTGATAATTGTATATATTTAATCGTAGATCTTGGTGAAAATACCCCCACTGATGAGTAAGTGTGTTAGGAACTTGGACAAACGTGACGTTTAAAATGCCGCTTATCATCCAAAACACCCGCTCAGCGGAGGGACAGACTATCCCGTGTGGGGCAATGTAGTATTGCCCTCGGGCACAAATCCCACCTGGTATAAACAGTGCTGGCAGGTGTGCCGCAATGGAAACGTCGCTCCGCCACCCATGCACCTGAAAAACCTTATTTGCTAACGTCTTAATCATTGGGGTGTAGTTTACGGGAGCAAAGATATTCTTGCAAAGGCGACAAAGAAAGAACCATTCTGTTTCGAGTGGAAAGAATGAACTTGGGATTCGCGAATTAAGCTTTATATCAATTGCGAAAATTCTGAGCGGCGCATAGTAACCGAAGAAGGTTTTTGCGAAGGATAGGTATTGCTGTGGTCTTTGGGAAATTAGAATAAATACGGAATGTGCCAAACTTCTGTGTGCGTCACGGGTAAAAAATAAGTATTTACTGACAAATTCATTGTCATCAGTGCCAAATTTAACGAAAACTGTGATCGTACATATTTCATAGAATTTAAAATCTAATGTCCTCTTGTCGTCTTCTACAGAGAAGTTTGAAAAGTTGGACCGCCCATTTACGGTGTAGATCAAGTTGGCTGGATCGTTGACATGGATAAGGTGCTCTGTTAGGTCGATGTATTTCAAATCATTACCTAATCTCAAGAATTTGATTACGCAGTTACCAAAGTAGCCAAAATTACCGACGTGGAGTTTATCCATGCTCAACACTGATGTTACCGTAGTTTGCAAAATGATTACGAGGTAGTGCATCGGAAACATTTTAGCTTGGATTTAAAATAATACTTGTCCAGTCAAATGATTCAATCGATAAATAAGTTAACGGATGGTGTACACATATCCAGAAGATACTTTCAATAAATCATTATATAGATGAAGTTATATATGCGGCTGTCCTATTACATATGCGCCAAAAACACGTTTTCATTTCAACTTACAATGCGATGGTGTGAAGTGTAACCCTCCGAATTGGTTGAAATTTTAAAATTATGTGGTCCAAGTCAATACAATCAACGTTTCTTGAGGCAGTTTGTCCGATGGTTGGAATTTGTCAAAATATATGAGGTCAAAGTCGAAAAATTATCAATTTTTCCCTTTGAATGGAACGGGAGTGGGGTTTGCTTCCTCCGCTTGGTAAAAATCGTCCATTTTTTCCACTTTGACCTCATATATTTTGACAAATTCCAACCATCGCACAAACTGCCTTAAGAAACGTTGATTGTATTGACTTGGACCACATAATTTTAAAATGTCAACCAATTCGGAGGGTTACACTTCACACCATCGCATTGTTAGTCTCTTTATTCCTGAATTGATTTCTCTTTTTTTATCAATTCTTCAGTTAGAATGTTAAAAGTCTTCATAGTCGCCTTCTCATTACTTTAAGCATGAGACTAATCTGGATTATCGACTAATACTGTGAAGCTAGAGTTGTCGCTATTCCCTCGGTAGTAACTCACGGTAAAGTTGATTTCTTACTAAGCCTAAGCTTGGTACAATGGCGCCGTGCGTCTGATCGTTTCAAGATTCGATTCGCAAACAGCATTTGGAGCTTCTAAAAATTAGCTGGATTAGTTTTTACACCCGGTGAAACTGTTTCAAACTGCTTGAAATTATCTAAAGCATTGCCGTGAAGATATATTTTGCAAAGCCTATTGTGATGCGATATTTACAAAGAAACTGATGACTCTAACCCGTTAAACTATTGATGTGAAATAATTAGAACCAGGTCGTAACACATTGACTGAAACCAGTAATATTATGAATACATCGGGTCCAACAATAAGAAAATAAATGAGAGAAACCAGCCCATTTTAGCAGGAAATGAATTTGCAGCCTCGCAGAGAAGGAAATTGTCTAGAATTACTTATAAATGCCCCGATAATTTATGTTTTGCATAAGAATCGTTGGTTGTACTCGGACGTAGGAAAATTTCCTTTAATTGCAACCAATACATAACCTTACATATCACATTCTGAGCTGCCATGAAAATTTTAGGAAACTCATTTAAGAAACGTATGCATTGCTAATGGCAAAATAATATCTATGTAAAAGCATATCGCGTGTGACACGCATCACGAAAAGATTGTTTTTTGGCCGACGATAAACCTGGGTTCCTAAGTTTAATATTCGAAAATTCTATTCTATTTGCTTTTAAACATGTATTTAGGAAAATTCTACACAAAGTCTTGAAACCAACATCATTGATTTATTGGGAATTTAGTCCTTGAGAATGGAACAACCCTATTATGATGGTGGGGAACTTTTACAAACTTCCAAATTGACCAGAGTACATCCCGTCACTGCTGTTTTGGATTATAACCAGGACCTAGTACCAAATCCAATTCTGAAATTTATAAGAAGAACCAATTTGGTTTTGTACATAATTCTTCTTGTAAGCCTAAAATTGTAATCAGTAAACAGAATCAACCCAGTTTTTAAATTTAAAACTTTGTGATTAGATTTCAGCTATTGCAGTTATTATTACGTATAGCATTATTTGGAAGTCAACAATCAGTCCAAAATTGAATCTTTCGGAGACTGGAAATATTTGGTCATTCGTTTTACTCTTTTCAAATTGTGGAATTGTGATTTTGGTATCAAGCTTCATAATCTTCAGGAACGTTCAAGGATCCCAGCTAAAGTTCAAACACGGTTTCAGGGTAATGTTGTTTACCTTTACTTAAGCATGTTCGTAAATGATAATTTTTTAAACTATGATATCCGAGAAATTATGCGAAATCTGTATGAAAGTTGTTTACAAGGGTCTAATAAATTTCTACGATACTAGTAGCAACCCTAGTTTGAAATTATTTAGTGTGTACTTGTACTTGCCGTCTGTGCTGGTGCATTGGGAACAGTTTGGATAGGAGCTGCGGAGTCTGTAAGATTTCAGAAGGGGTCTGGACCAACGAAGAACACGACTTTTGGAATGTACATTCAAAAAGTGTGTGGCTCACACGGCGATAAGAACTCAACTTCAGAAGGAGGAGTAAACCACTTCGTATTTAAATACGATAACTGTCGTATTACCAAAGCTAACATGAATTTGTTTACTCTTCTAACAGGATTTAAGGGCGGAAGAAATGAACAAGAAATGTGAGGCAACGAAGCAACTGAAATCCATCATATACACGATGTACATCTGGATGGTAGAAATCGTTCTTGTGATATTTCTGGATTTTATATTTGGACTCAGTAATTGGGGAGTCTGAAATGATACTTGCTGCAAATCCCAGAGGGGGTGGTGTTAATTGACATAGATGAAAGTAGTAATACATTGAGAATGCGTTGATAAAGGCTATGAAAATTTAGAAGTACATACATATGGAAAGGAATTATTTACGGAAGATATTTAATCATTTGTATATTTTAAACAATCATAACAATCTGTGACATTCCAGCCCAGTGTAGGTTGATCAACGACACAGGTATGAAATGTCTGTATCTTTATAAATCTATATGAATATTTAATTGAGTCGAGCTCTTGGCTAGCTAACAGGAACATGACTCAACATTAGTAGACATAGGACGGAGTAGTCCATAATTTAGAAATAATTGTTTTGTCCACAAGATGTGGAGGAGACGGTCTGATTAGATTAATTTAAGGTAGAATTAACAGATCGTATGGATGACGTTTTGATGTGATTTATTCACAAGCTTTCAGGGATCAACTGTCCCCTTCTTCAGGTGTAAAATTGTACATGAGAAAATTATAGGAATAATTTCATAAAAGATAATATTTTCAAAATCAGACGAGATGAAAAGTTGTTGACATCATTGAGGTCGCTGGGTAACCGGGATTGTAGTTGGGCGTATAAGCGTTGGTGCTAGGGGCAGGAGTAGGGATGTCCAAATGGGGTTTATTTCCATACCTGAATCTCGATTTAATTTATTTCTGGTGTTTCTGATCAGCAATCCCTCTTTAAATCTCCGGTGGAAATATCGCTCCTCCCGATGAATCAGAGTTGCTGACTCGATTTGAATCCTGTGACCAGGATTCTCTACTATGTGGGTTGCAATTGCAGATTTAGTGTTTTTCTTTGCTAGATCTCGTTCATGTTCTTTAATCCTTTCTTCCATAGGACGGGATGTTTCTCCAATGTATGTTGAACTGCAGTCGCATGGGATTTGATAAATTCCAATTTTGGAGGGAGGTTCGTTCTGTTTGTGTGAGCATATTTGGTTTCATATTTTTGTCCCTGGAATATAGCTAAAGTCACAATCTAATTTTCTCCTGATATAACTTGTCAGGTGATGAGTAACAGGACCCATATATGGTAGAATCATGCGTGGTTTATCGTTTTGTTCATTTTCGTCTCTAATTCGGGATCGTATCCGTTTAATTCGGGATTTTATGAGGGAGTTTGGGTAGTTGTTGCTCAGGAGGTGGGTTGTGACATGCTGTACTTCTTCAAGATATTTGGCGTCAGAGATTATGAAAGCACGGTGTAGTTGTGCGTCGATCACTGAGATCTTGTGTGATGGATGATGGAATTAGATTAATTTAATTAATTTGGAACAAGAGAGGAGCTCGCTTGATCCTACTAGTTTTGATAATTTTGGTTCAGTTAGCCTTTTAAAGTCACACTTTTTAATGCACCCTGCATTACTTATACATACATAAGGAAAATTTAAGGAACTATTGTAAATTTCTGGATGTGACGTAAAATGTAAATTAGTGCATCATGAAAGGGATAATATTCAAGATCGAGGATATTGCAAAATCAGAATTCAACGGGACGGTATTTCTTTGCTCATTCATCAAAATTCCATAAAAAACTTCCGAAATTAGCGTACCAAGAGTTGAATAGTGGACACACAGAATATCTTGGGAATTATTCTTGCCCACGCTGGGGGCGGTGTTACTTCTTTAGGACCGTCTTAAAATGAAATAAGAAGTTAAAGTGATACCATCAATCTGATACGTGTCCACACAAACCATCAATTCTACCAGAATTTGCGCTTACCACGATTATCGCCGCGGCTTGAGTCAAACCCTACCAATTATTTCCACATTAAATTATTCATAGACATTAAACTGAATACCAAACATAATCAGAGCATCTCCTCACCGTAGTTTGCTTAGAGTTGAGACTCTTAAACAGATCATCGAGTGGAATCTTGTGTAAATAGTCCTTGTACTCTGGTTAAAGTAAACGACACGGGGTTCAGATATGAATAATTCAAATTATTGACGAATTGATAATAATAAAATGAGGTATAGATGCACTGCCAAGCACAATTAGCCAGCTATTTACCAGACTGGAACATCCGCGCAGCTACTTTCGTACGTTTCAGCTCCTGTGTGGGATCAATTAAAAGAGATAATTAAGAGATTAAAGAAAAACTCGAGCATATTACATGAGCGTCTCAATATTACTGCTCATTTCATAGTAATTCGTGATTATATTCATGATAAATTTTTCTAGGTTCTTGGTTAAAATTAGATGAATTTTAGCGGCGTGGGTCGATATTTATAAATACCAATCACTAATTATAATTTATATGTATAAAATAATGGATCAAAACTTACATCTCCGTTTCCCGCAAGAGTGAAATTGTCTGTTAGTTCAGTCACAGCTTTCTATTGGAAAAATTGGACATTAAGTAATTATTTAATTGCATTTTTGTAACCAAGTACATACATATAATTGAGTTCTATAGACTTTGAAATTTACAACCATGTGCAAAATTCATATTATAAATCATAATTATATGCATCTACATATTTGTGAAGATATGTAATCATTTACTGTTTTTCCGAGACAATTCAAAGGCTTACAAATCACGATACTGTCATTTTAAGTTTTATATCAAATTGTAATTTGATTTAAAAGTTGAATATTGTGACTTTGGTTGCGATTTAATTAATCAATTATTGAAAAGATCTTTTTCAAAGGAAACAACGTCAATGAAGTAATTCTAAATCTGTTTACACAATGCTGCATCCCTTTCAAATATATCGAATATATCGAAACTCAAAACATTATCTTAATTCCGTTGAGCAAAAATTTGGCATTACGATACGACACACAAACATTTTAAAATACGAGTGTCTTCCTAGCTAGGCGCCGTGTCGGCAATTGCACGAGGGGTGCATAATAATCTGTATTTCGAAATCGCTTCAGTCCCTTCTCCTTGCCACAAAGAAATAAAAATACTTAAACCATGAAATATGTAACCAGCCTCCAACGGCACCAAAATGGATTTCACCTCTTCTCCCGTTATATTTATATGTTCATACCCAACAAAATAATGCCAAAATTGAATAAAGTCACTGTCACTTACCACAAGGACTGTAGTTTTGAGTAAAACGTCCCGGTACGACTGGTCTCTCGCGAATCGTGCCCGTATGTATGACTTAAAATTAGACAGGGCTTGCTAAAATAGAACTATGTGTGAACATTATTATTCCTTAAATTTACGTGTAGTTTGGCAGATCTTTTAGTGTCGTTTATCAGTTTTGCGTCATTCTTTTTCATCCTATCTGGGATCAAACGGTGGGCCACTAAACAGTGATGAATAGCACCGGAAGGACTAAAATAATCAACACATTTCATTACAGAACAATGTATAATTTAATTTGTCCGTCTCTCAATGTGTGGAATACTTATGGATAAGAGGACTCACCAAAATTCGCTTTGGCGAAGAAAATCAAGTCAATAACGGTTTTGGACCAGACGTTGACAGTGCTGTTAAGGGCTATCTCGTTGCCTTGCGCCAAATCCAATCCTCCAAGAACAAAGATCAACACGAACCAAAGAAGGAGACGTGATCCTTACGCCCTGTGTTGCACCCTCTGTACAAATAAATAAATTATTATTGATAAATAGACATATCAAACGTATGACCTATTAAGTTCCTTCCTTGAAAAACGTAGTGGCCACGCGCTCCATCCCATATTGCATGTACAACTTTCCCAGCGCCATGTTCGTCCGGACCGCGCGCGCCTTGGCGGAGATATTTTGGAGCATGTGGAGCGCTTCTTCTGTTTTTTTACACTGCATCAGGCAAAGGTGCAGCTTGGACTTGACGTCTGCAAGAAGATAAAAAAACATGTCATCGTGATCAAGACATTTTTGCGAAAATTAAAATTCACAGAAAAATTTGCAACTTTTCCACAAGCAAAGTTGCAAAGTATCAATTTCGCATTTCAAATTCCTGACAAAAACAACTGTCAAAACCTGTCCAACAAGTTAAGTTTTCCTTCAAAAGTCAGTCATCCCGACTTGTGAGTGAAGATTGTCATTCATTTCACTTCATCAGACTTTATTTCTTACTTTGCCCGATGACGATCCTTTAATTCACAGTCATTCACTTTAAATGACGGAGTCTTTCCTTCATTTTCATTCATATGTTACGACACTCATTTTCATTCACTACCTAGTACTCGCTTAAGAACTGTTACAAGATTTCCCGGGTAAATTAAGCAGGCAACGCAATTTTTTAGAAAGTTGTACTATTTTTTATTGAATTCCCCATGCAATTGTCCGTCAGAAACCATGTTTCGAAAACTTTTGTGACCCAAGGTGCCAATATGATAGATCGCCAAACATAGCGTGTTAAAATTTTTCAGCAACATTTGAGCCAACAAGAAAATTCGACATTTTCTAATTGTTCAATAAAAATCGGAATTAATTGCAAGGTGGTCGACCGTACCATAAAATGGTGCAGTGACACTGGCAGTGTCAAAGACCGAAAATTAAGTGGACGGGAACGGTTAAAAATGTCACCAAAAATTCACCAAGGCGCGAAAACCTGGATTTGTCCGAATCCATGCCGAGCCCTAAGAAAATTTCCCTCGTAAATGAACGGATCAAGTATAATTGAGTCTCGGGGCCTTAAACTGAACTTTAGACTTATGCCTTCAAGATATGAGGAGAAACACTTCCTAACTACACGCCAAGTAAAAACAGACACATCAGAACGTGGGAGCTGATCGTGCGGTACGCACGTGAAAAATAAAAACGGATATTTTCAACAGGTGTGCCCCCTTTATGGTTGAGGCCAAATAAAATAGAAAAAATACCGTGTTTGCACTCCACTGGTCTAGGCTATTCATAAAAATTTCAAAAATTTTGATCGGATCCACCATCCTGCTTCTGTGATTTTTTTATTGGACCTAAATTGGACTGCGTGAAAAAAGTGATTTTTCTTACCAACGGGGTGAAATTTCGTGTCGGAAATTATTTTTTGAAATTTTCGAACGAATTGTGGAACCACTGGACCATTACCTATTCAAAAATAGCGACGTGGCATTCAAACAGTACTAAGGTCAAGCTCATGAGGGGAAAATAATAATTGGGTGGCTAAAATCCGAAATTCCTGACTCCAATTCGGATCGAGAAAAAAATTCATTGTCGCCGAACCTCAACCTGCTGGACTATGGCATATTTTTCAAACTTTAGCTGGATGTATGTGCTAGACCCCACACAAGTTTGGAATCCATAAAAAATTCTGTCGTCACGATATGGGGCCAATCTCCCCTGGAACGCGTACGTACTTCTGTCGAGTGGTGGATAGCAAGACTCCGGGCTCGTCAAGCCTTATAAAATTGAAATTTTAAAAAGTGAATTATGTTTCCTATACAGAATTTCACTGGCTTTTCAGTGATGTACTTATTTTTTCAAAATTCGATATGCTGGGATCGCTACGATGACTTGTTCTTGTAACAGTTCTTCTGCGAGTACTAGGTATATATCATTTCATTATCAGTCAAATGAATGAATGAAAGCGAACAGGTATAAAAAATGAATGAACGAACCATTGCTGTCTTCTGCCGGGATGCCCTCCTCCTCCTTTGGCGTTGGCCCTTTCGACACCGACTTGTGAAGGTCGAGGGCCTTCCGATAATAGGATTCTGCCCGGGCGTAGTCCTGCGTAAAGTAGGCCGAATCCCCGCAAAGGATGAGGAGAGTGACCCGCTGCGCCTCGCTGACATGTTCGGGATACCGTTCTCCCAAGTTCAAGGCCACACTTGCCTACAAATTTAAGTACGGGATAATTAATTAATTAACTAAAACAAAAAAACGAAGGAATTTATATAACGAGATCGACTCACAAATGAAAGAACGCTCGAGTAAAGTTGTTCCTTAAACATGACGGTAATCTGATCCAAATAAAACGATTTTGACGGTAGATTCGCTTTAGAAAGAAATTAGAATAATTAATATAATTAATTAACGTTTCTATTATGTTTAATTTAGGTTTCTAATCATTACTCCAGAAAGATTCCGATGATTTTAGACGGAAAATTTTATAATGAGTCGGCTCGCTCCACTTCGTTTTCTATCGCCAATCCCCCCTGGTCTGTCAAAATAACTAATAAACTTTGAAATAGTTCTCAAAAATAATTAAAAGGTAAAATTTGACATTTACCACTTTGAAGTTGAACTTGAAATGGAGACGGAATAAGTTTGAGAGAAAAATTTCAATCAGCGCGGTCTGCCGGGCAGGGCTGAACGGGAGGAGAGAGAGAAAGAGCACGTGTTGAAATTTCATGCAAGTTTTTTCATGAAAAATGCTAATTTTCTTCGAAAATTATTTTTCTGATGTGCTTTCATCGTCGTCATGAGTGTCGCTTATCGTACATTGATTAAAAATGAGCAAAAATAATGAGATTTATGTCTAGTTTTGGATGACATTTTCAATTCATACACTCTTAGAAATCCAGTATTAAAATAATACCAGGTGGTATTCATATATGACTCTACCAACGTGGTATTGATAAATAATACCGTGTGGTAATAACCCGGTATTAAAGTTTTACAATATCGGTATCAAATTTTTACTCACCGGTATAATTTTAATACCAAGCGGTAGCAACTTTAATACCGAGAAATCAATACCTGCGTGACTATACCGGATTTCTAACAGTGTAAATTTATTACGGTGAGATAAGCTCACATCCTGAGTCCAGGTAAGTATGTAGATAAGCAAAATATGCAGTCTGTCGTCCTCGCTTTATCTCAAAATTGGCTTTCATTCCGTTCACCTTTGGTGCTTCCGGCTTAGTTAATGAAAGACATTAGTTTATGGATTAATTATTTCCTGGATGATGAATGACTGATGTCTAAAAATACCACCAAATTCTCCAGAATTTTATTTTTCCATCAGTTCAGTTCATTCTTCCTCTCAAATTCTTTTACCTCAACTTATTTTGGGACAAAATTTCCCCTAAATTGACTAAGGTTTATTATGTATGAATTTACAAATTAAAACTGAGTCGAATTTTTATCTATGCCAAATTTCAGCTTTCTATCACAATTTTGAAATTTTGGTGCATAATACCCCACCCACTTATATGACCCCTACCGGTTCAAAACTTTTCTGATCGAACCCATCCTCGAACTCGGTCGTTGCATTGCCCAGATACATGTCTGTACCAAATTTGGTCCAAATCGGTCAACTCGTTCGAGAGTTATCGAAAGACAGACGGACAGACGGACGGACATGACGATTACATAAGCCCTGGTTCGGGCTAAAAAGGGACGGCTTTTGATTTTTGGGTTATCTTAATTTTAAGGAATACGACAGAACGCGTTAATTTCTTTGTGATGCCACCTTCGACTTTTAACCCGAAATTAATTAAGTAATGTATTTATTATCGACTTTTTTTCAAAAATTTGCCCCTATTTTATTTTATCTAGGCGGATTTTTGCCCAAATGTACCCCCAAGCCAGGGACATCCCTCAATCCGCTTACCGTGGCGCGACCCTGCTCAAACTTCCGGAATGCCCGCCCTGGACATACCCACCCAGTCGCGACACTGATAAGCTGCCCCGTTATTTCAACACCTTCGACTACCCCGACTTATCCACGCCACGCCCCCGCCCAACCAGGAGCGGCTATCTCATCCACCGAATTAACGTCACGGGCGGACTTTACAGGCCAAAATACCTCCCACCACAGCCCCCCGCCGGCAATCGTGGGCTTCCTCCGCCTGGGAATGGGCCACCACGCCGAACAGGGGACAACAAATTCAAGACCAAATTTTGGCCAGGTTAGGTTTATTGTAAAAAAATTGCGTAATTTTCTAAAAAAAATGTGTAAAATTTCTTCATCTTCGTCAGGGTTAGGGTTCATTTCTTAAGTAAATTTTGTAAAATGTACTTAATAAATGTTTCTTAAATAAATCAAAATTTTAGGTTTTAGGAAGTTCGTAAATTTTAAGTGTACTTCATTAGTAAGTAAAAAAATGTTCAAAAATGTTAGGTATTCTTTCAATTCGGTTTATATTCATTAGTTTCTCAAATTTAGTCAAACGAGGTCAAAATTAATTAGGAAAACACTTATTTACTTTTAACTAACTAACTAACTTAATTAATTCGTAGGAATTTGTCATACTTAAATTTAGTTAAAAAAATTAAATTAACGAGGGGTCAAAAAGTAAATAATAAATATGTAAATTCTTAAATTGTCAAATATAATATGTTAATTAGTTAGGAATGTCCTCTTCTGGATTTAATACCATTCTCCATTCTCCGCCATGTAAAATGGACCCTTTTCCGCCTCAATTTTCTGCAATGTTGCTTCACGCTCCTCTAAATAAAGGTCGGACTCGTCATCTCCGGTAATTTCCTAAAAGTGGAAACAATTAGTTTCAAAATTTGTACAAATTTGCACAATTTAAATAATATAATAAAAAACTCACCTTAATCTGGACCAAGAAATCGTTCAGATGGTCCCTAAATCGGGTCACGTCTTGATTAAGAGAGAACATTCCTTGCACCTTGATCTTGACCTGGTTGTCCGTCAAGTGGGGAAATTCACGCTTAAGGAGATCAATCATGCGGGTCAGCACCATCCCGGCGACGCCGCCGCTGATACCTACAGAAAATAAGTACTCAGCAATTAGAAAATAATTAAGAAAAGAAATTGTAGTTTTAAAAACGATGTTACCGTTTTGAATTTAACTGCGCCCACCAATTATATTGACGTAGAATTCGATGAATCATTTCCAAAATCGTCAAAATCAACACATTTTTAATCATTTCTCTGCTCTGGGAATTTATTTTAAACTTCTGAGCGACACACTTGTACAGGAAGTTATTGTCAATTTAAAAAAAATACACTCCAGATTTTGAAAGTTTCTGGAAATAACTCAAGTTTAAACAGTCTCCAGAAAAATTGAATAGAACTCATCGAAACTGGGGTTAGTTTAAAACCTCACTACAGTTCTGTCAATCAAGTTAGAATTTTAAAATAAATTCCCCGAGCTGAGAAATGATTAAAACTGGGTCGGTTTTGACAATTTTGGTGGTGACTTATCGAGTCATAGGTTAAGTAATACTAAAACTAACAATACTAATTTAGTATTACTAAATCCTAAGGCAACCTTTACGTTTGATTAGGTTAATGGCTACTCTAGATTTAGCATACTTTACTTAATTTATAATTCCGAGTGCATTTCCTACTCAAAAGGGTAACATAATTTTTAAGAGTGTAATTATAAATTGAAGTAATGAACCCTCAGCTGCAGACACATGAACGAGCCCCATTTCCACGATGGAGAAGAGGTACGCCAAGATGGTGGCGTGCATGGCGAGGGCGCCCACGTGCGAGGAGTCCGTCACGATGGACAGCACGTGCTCCAGAATATCCAGAAAATACGTTCGTGGAAGGATCGAGAAATTTCGACCGGTTGGACTGATATCTTCTGCAGAAGGGTGTACAAGATATCCAATCCGATACCCGAGACGGTACGCATGGTATGTTTTACCGCCCATATTATCGAGTCGAGCACCAGTTTGAATTGGGATGGCGGGATGGTCAAGTAGGCGGAGAAACAGTGGGTCGTCACGGCCTAAAAAACAGTTGATTAAATTAGGACATTTGAAAGTGTAGGGTTTTTAAAAAATTGGTTCCGAAAATTTTAGAAAAATGAGTTATCGATTTGCCCGTATTTTAGTAAAACCGGTTTCGCTTTTCTTTAAAAAATGGCATTTAAAACTTTACCCAAACTGGTTCATAAAATCTGAGAGGGGAAGTTTTAGAATTTTCGCAATACCGGTTTTCGATTTTCTGGTTTCATTTTTTACCAAATTTTACCGATTTTTAAATAAAATCCTCTATTTACAATAAATTTGACATTATTTTGAGAAAAAATTACAATTCTTGCATCAAATTCAGAAAATGGAGACCCTTAAAATTTTACTTGTAAAAAAAATGAAAACCAGTTTTTACGAAAATATTTACTGACACCCCCACTAAATTTCAATACCTGCACCATTTCAAAGAATCCCACCCGATGGTCTGGAAACTCTTGAAAGTCTTTCGTAATCATGCCGAGCGTGCATTGGAACACGGCGTCAAATATCTTGGGTACTTGTGGCGTAATAGCGGCCTCCAATTTGTTCACGATTGCCGCCATCGTGGTGAGCACTTCCGGTTCGCGTGCCGCGGGGACGGAACAGACCTGGTAGTCGAGCAGGACGGCGTTCAACAAGGCGGGGATGAGGTGGTCGAGAAGCAGTTCTGGATTTTCCGAGCGTCTGATCCAGGTCGAAATCAGTTTGAGACTTTCCTTCTTCACGACGCGCATCCCTTTGATGAGCGGCTGCTTCGTGACGGACTCGCCGTACGTGGCGGCGATGGCGGATGTGATGTTGTCAGACGTGACTTTGTAAACGTCTAACATGTCGAGGTAGATCCGGCCGAGCTGGAAATTACGTAACAGAAATACATAAATATATTATTTAGTTATTGAAGCAGAAATTATGAATTTTACAAAGTTTACATAACAATACAAATTTTAAGCGAGTTGACTTGGAAAATAGAACAATAATTACTTAATTAACAAACTATTTAGAGAAGAATACAAAATAATTAATTAATAACTGATTGATTGAACTTTAAATTGACAAACTCAGAGTGTCCAATTTATGATTATAAATATTGTGAATTTAAAAAAGTGTACGCACGTACATTGTAACGACAAATAGGAAGTAAATAGGTTACTTAACGTAAAATTGGCACGGTTTGCAAACTGCATATTTACAGATTCCCAGTTCATGTAAATTTCTAGTTTTACAAAGTTTACACAATTGCAAAAATTCCCGTGACAGCTACTTAAATTTACCTGGCCAACGTAAACATGCCCTAACGACTTGGCCGCTCGAACATTCGTCTCTAAAATGCATCCCAACTGCTGTACGAAATCAATCTCCTCGAGGACCTCAACATTCTTGGCGGCCTGACTCATAATTGAATCCCAAGCCTGTCAAAAATTCAATTAATTATGATTTACCCCGAATTATCAATTTATAATTTTACAACCCTCACCGTATTCGGCAACGCCATCAACCTCTCGATAAAATTATCCCGCACTAAATTGTCCTCCTCTCCCGAGATCATGTGGCCCACCGCTTCATAAAACGTTTGCACCTGTCCCGGCGTCAGGTCGCAAATTATGGTCGGCAATCTCGTCAAAATTTCCTCGATGAAGGGACGATGCTCCCCGTTTTGAACAGTCACGAAGAGATGTGAACAGAGTTGACCTGGATAATTAATTGTGAATTCGTTTAAGCAATTCACACAGACCTTGACCTTGGTAACACTGTCGAACTGTAAATTCAGTAAATTTTGCAAAATTTTACAAATATTCCGAAGAGGAAAATCAATCTATTCAGTTATGAAAACCCGGTCTCAAAAAAATAACGAAATTTTATCCTCCATTTTTTTCATTAAGACAAATTTGCAAGCTAATTTTTCTTGGAAATCTTTGAAAAATGGTGTAATAGTTTGTAAATTTACGGATTTTACAACTTAATACCAAGGACTGTGTGAATTTGCCTCATTAATTAGTTCCTCCTTAAATTAATGATTAATTAATCAGAACAATTACCAATTTTGACCAGGGTGTCACACGCCATGTCCTGCACGCCTTCCTGGGTCAGGTGCATATTGTCGAACAAGAGCTTGACAAAAATTATCAGAAATCTGGGATGCGCCCGGAGAAACTGGAGGTTTTGGGAGACCAGGTACATGAACGCGATTTTGAACCTGACCACGCCCTTCGCGTCCTTCACCTTCTTCTTCTGCGACGACAACACGAACAAGTCCTCCATCACGTTGAGGATGAAGGGCAACTCGTCGTTGTCATTCATTGCGCCCGAAATGGAGCCGATTGCCCAGCAGAGCTGGAAATACATGAAGGAATAATTAGTTTAGTTATTTCTACATATTTAGATTCCGTCCTTTTTTAAATTAATAAAATTCAGCAACAGATTTAATAAAGTAGGGAAAGCTAATTGCTGAAAATTATGCATTGATTTAATATCTTGGATTTCGATATGCATCAAAATTTTGAAGCTACGACATCGCGCTGTGACCCTTTGACCTACTTTTTACCAGTTCAAAATTTTGATATGAAAATTCAAATACAGCTAAAAAAACTAATTCGTTCGAGACTTATCATTATTACAGAAGGGCAAATCGATCGTGTTAACGTAACGTAGGAAGGAATCGATAATTCATCAGTTCATCACCAAAATTGACACATTTTTAATCTTTTTTTGGCTCTAGGAATTTATTTTAAAATTCTGAACCCCCGATTTGTAGTTAGTGACTTGAATAAAAGAATAACGGTGAGTTAGTTAAGCCTCTTAAACTCCTTCTTCAAAAACTTCCAACATCTGGAGTGCATACATATTAAAAAATTGACATCTACTTCCTGTACCTACCAATTTATGGTCCAAAATTTTAAGATAAATTTCCAGAGCTGATAATTGTGCTGATTTTTATATATCATTTTGAGTCATCCAGTAATTTACATTTCCTACTACCCCAACTAAATTAAAATAGCCTCACCGTGTTTAAATTTTGGGGACTCCACTCTCTCCCGTTGACCTGATTCTTTAACCTTTCCATCATACTTTTAACCGTGTCGGTGCAGTCCAGGTGGGTCAAGGAGATCAGCTTTCTTTCTGTATAAAGTGATGGAATCCGTGTCCCGCATGAATTCCCGGACCACTTCGCCATTCTCGTTCTCCACGACGAGGATTTCTTCCGGTTTCACCATCCGGCTGATGAGGACGTATCGCACCATAGAGAGGAGCGGGCCGTAGAAGATGTTCCGGTTGGAATGGGAGCAGAAGAAGATTTCGCTGTAAAAAAGCCACAATGTTCATTAAAATAATGACACAACTCGCGTAGCATTGTAAATTCTGTAAATTTACAAACATTTACAAAATGTTACACATATTTCGCAGGACAATTAGCTCATAAATTTACTTAGGCGTCTATTTATTTTGTAAAAGCTTGTAAAATTGTTTTGCAAAAGGTTCGTATTTTACAAATTATCAACGAATTACCTCAAAATTCAGCCTAAATTATCTAACTTTGCAAAATTTGCAGTTATTCAGATCAAATTTGCATATAAAAAGTCGTGCATATTAAACAATTAAAAAATACTTCACAAAAATTGTTGGATTAAAAAATTTGTCTTCAATAAAATCAGTGGGAGAAATTTCGTCCAAAATTTGCCCGACTTAATTTCTCTAACTTTACAAGATTCGCAAAGTTATTGGAAAAAAATTGCACAGAAATGTCGTCTTTCTCACCTCCGCAAACTGTCAGATCTTCAAAATTTCTACATCATCCACCTCCGAAATCAGGGCGAGATACTGTAACCCTTTGAACAGCAAGTCTGGAGCGTATCTTCCCACGAGACTTTCATGCTTTTTCAGAAATGTGGATAAAAACAGGGCCAGATTTTGAATGAATTGCTGCTCATCGTCCCCACCGCGGGAGAAGGCGTCGCGGATATTGATCGGAAGTGGGATCATGACCTTCAACTGGGACAGTGTTTGGCTGAATAGCTGGAGAAATTTGGTGGGGCAATATTCCGTAAAAGGCGTCGTGAGGGGGGCGATTTCCGTAAGACATTTCAACGTTGCGTTGCGAAACGGGGGGACGGCGAGGAACTGGAAATTAATTAGTAATTAATTAGTACTTTATAAATTGGTAGTTAAATCATCAATTACTGAGCGGGAGGATTAAATGGATTATTGATTAGTCTATTTTAAATTCAATACAATTGGTTGATTGTTGAACGAGAGGATAATTAGTAGACAAAAGGGGAGGGAATTAATTAGTTAAAAGTTGGGGGGATTAATCAATTAGTTAATTATCAAGTAAGGAATGACGTGGTCGCATAAATTGAGTAGTTAAATAATTAATTACGGAGGGGATTAAGTGATTAGTTAATTAGCAACGGAATTAATCGATTAATTAATAAACAAGTAGATAAAGTGGGCTCATAAAAGACAAGTTATATAATTAATTAACGAGGGAATTAATCGATTAGTTGACTAACGTTGCGTAGCGTTTTATCTATTATTGAAGGGCGGAGTTAATTAATTAGTTAAAAGGAGATTAATTACCTGATTTAGTAAATTATTAATGAGGAGATTAATTAGGTAATTAATTACCCACCTTCCCCGTCAGTACGTTGATTAGCTCCGTCTCGAACACATACTCTAACGGGATCCAGTTAAGAAATCGTAACAGTGTTTCCAGCGTGGCCAAGATAAGCTGGGGACTGGTCGTATTTTCCATAACGAATTGACAAAGGTTGAAAATTTCGGAGAATTCGGAGTGCATCGTGTCCTTCAACTTTTCCACCTTCGCCTGCACCATCTGACCGGATGAGAAGTCGAATACTTCTTCTGAGAGGAGTTTTAAAATCGTCTTGTTGTTTTGACACAGCGATTCGTTGGTTTTCGAGGCGCCGACAATATCGGGAATGAAGGTGGACCAGTTTTTGGGCCATTCTCGCTTTAAGATCTGGACAAAATTAATTAGCATTTAGTTAATTAGTTTGCAAATTCGTAAAAAAACTTTGGAAACTTTGCTTCCAGGCAGGAGAATTTTGACTTAAAAGATTAGCATAAATGCATGAATTAATTTGAAGTGGACATAAATCTCCAAGAAATTAATTAATTTACATTCAAACTTATGTAAAATTATGAATTTTTAAAATATTAGGTGAATTAAAAGTGGAATGATTAAGAAATTAATTAATTAGGGTTCAAACATATGCAAAAAAATTGATATTTTGCCTCCAAAACCTTCCAAAGACTAATTTTTCAAGTACCTACAACTTATTGGCATGAATTAATTACTCAGTCGTTTAGAAATTTACATTAAAAGTAAATTTTGCCTTCAAAATTTCGTTAAAAATAAGCCAAATTAACTAATTAATTGCCTCCTTACCTGAACCAATATGACATTCAGCTTGTTAAGATAAACCTTCTCGTCGCCTTGCAGCGCGCCCGGCGCCGAACTCGTCTTGATGATGAGGGCGACAATAAACTTCTTAATCCCGTCGCACTGCGCCCTCGGGGGCCGTTCATAAATTATGTAACGCAAAAATCGACCTTTTTCAGACCCCTCCCCCCCCTCTGTCACACTAGTGTAACGCAAGACTAATACCCCCCTCCCCCTGTGTCACGTAACGCAGATCTCATTTTTTCCGAAAATGTAAAGGGCACAAATGAAAAAAAATTAATGGTATTTGTGTACGTTTGCTACAATACAGAATGCTACTGTATTAATTTATATGAATTTGCTTAATCAAATAACTTAATTAAAGTGGAATTGCGCTTACCTTGGGGAAATTGCAATTGTAAATTGGTAATGAAAGAAACTTCATCGGAAGAACTAAAATTAAGCATATTTTGTAATGGACAATGGTAGTTCAGTTTCCTATCAAATATCTATAAGTATGAATCTTTCGCCCAATTTCAGAAACCTGACGGTCCAATTTTTTATGAGATAGTGAATCAGAGGTCGACGCCGCCGACCATACGCCGCCGACGCCGCCGACGCCGATACTATTTTACGCGCCGCCGCCGCCGGGAAAAATTCTCGGCGCGCCGCCGCCGCCGCCGCCGACGAAAAAAATTTGGCGCCGATTTTAAGTTGGCCTGAATACCGAGATTTTGGTTTAATTATAATTACAAAAGTCAAAATTTAGCAATGCTTTCAGTCCCAAACTAGAGTTTCCATTTGGGGATCTTTTATTTATGACAAGTACCAAATATATGCTTGAATATTTATGAAAAATAGGACAAATTTTCCAAGATTCTGGCCGCCTGAATTTTCAATTAATTTACTTCTTTTAACTAAGTTACTGATTTTGGCGTTACCTGAACTTTGCGTCTTCCTGCGAAGCGATGAACATTTCTTTTATCACGAAAGTAAGAAATTGTTCCGGAAATAACTTTCCAAAAATTATCAAAGTTTACTATGCAAATATATTAAAATTTCCAAAATTTTCGGGGTGAAGTCTATTTTAACCCCTTTGTGACTGAAATAGTTGAAATTTGCTTTCCTTTGGGGACCAGAATTTTATCAGTGAGTTGTTGCTAAATAACCAATTTAATTTTAGCAATTGTGTAGTTACGTCACCAAAATGGTATTGTGTTGAGCGTATGTACGTCACCGACTTCACTGTTGTGTGCGAAACTATAAAGGACTATTGGGTCAACAAATCGGGGCATAAATTTTCTGTTCTTCCTTACAGTTCCAAGAACAAAGACTTGAAGTCTCACGAGAACTTTTGCAAGAGTAGGAGACTGAAAGTAATTGTCCAACACAAGACGATGATGTTTATGGAAATATCCTTTTCTTAACAATGTAAGATCTGTAGCACCGCCAAAGCCATAAGCAGCGATCCACGCTTGATCGAAGATGGGAGTACTCCGACCTTGATATGGCAAAATGTCGAGCACGTATTTTTTCTCTGCATCCATGAGTAAAAACGACTCGATTCCAAATCGTCCTCTTTTTTTCGGATTATACTGTCTGAAACTTAACCTCCCCCTGAATGGCATCAGTTCTTCGTCGAGTGTCAGAAACTCTCCAGGATTGACCGCTCTTCTGAAATTGTTCACAATATCGGGTAGGATTGTCCCCAACTTGTGAAATCGGTTGGTTGTGTCCAAATCAGGGTCCTCCATATTGACAAAGTGCAATCCACGCAAGATTTGCATGAATCTGAGGATAATATAAATATACTATAAATACTGCACAGTTTAGTTTTACAGACAATGCAATTATTCGTACATTAGTACATACCTATTCCTACTCATGATTTCACCAAAGTAGTGTGTGGCAATCAGCACGTTCGTACTCCAATAATCTTTCAGTGATGGCTTCTGCACAACTCCAGTCAGTACGTGTAGCGCCAAGAAGTTCCAAAACTCTGCCACCGTTACGTTTTTCCATTGGGGTATTTTTCTCTGTAGTGCGTACAAGTTGGTCTGATGAATAATTTGCCCAATAACTTCATCCGTCATGAATTTTCTAAGAATCGAGTATGGTGTTGACGTCCCATTGATTTCCACATCGCGTACGAATGTCTCAGGATCCTCGAATTCCGACGCCTCGGGAAAAAAATACTCGTGATCGCCCTCCCACGCTATATGGTCCTGAGCATTGGAACACACACGTAAATAAAATTATCTAATAGGAAATGATTGAAAACAAACACTTACAAAGTTAGCAACTGGCTCTTCATCGTTGTCATCGATGGGGTCAAACTGCAGTATTTCCTCTTCTTCGCCATCATTGTCCTCAACACCTTCCTCGACCCACGCTGGAACAAAGTCACCGAGTTCCTCACCTGGTTCTTCTATTTCCTCCGCCTCCACCACCCCCGAATTTGCGAATGTGATTGAAAACATTTTATTTGTGATGCAGATGAACGAAGAAAATTATGTATGACTCGTCTGCATGTGGGTGTTTGGTCATTTTGAAAAATTCTTCCATACTACACAAATATGTGTAGTCGGTCCCTAACGTAACGGAAAAAAACTACACAAATATGTGTAGTTGGTCCTTTACGGAAAGCAAAAAAGTACACAAATATGTGTAGTTGGTCCCCAAGGGAAAGCAAAAAAGTACACAAATATGTGTACTTGGTCCTCAACGGGTTAAATAAATAATTGACGTCTTAATCTTCAAAATGCTAAATTTAGATTACAATGATTAAAAAATTTAAGTGCTTTAAAATCTCTACAATGTTTTGAAGTAATGCCATAGTGAAAAAAAAAACTTGCAGCGTTATAAAAACAGGTGACATTTGATTAGATATTGTATACGTATATGTTGTATTCAAGAAAAAATTGAGAACGCATTTCTCAAAATCGGTTGTTATAATTTTAACTTAAAAAGTGTTTTCCATTTTTCATCTCCGACGTAATCAGTGGTCACTAAACAAGCGGGGGACATACCGGCACCAAAGTTTGTCAGTCTACTCATTCTATCTAATACATACTTTTTTAAATATTAAATTGTATTTTTCGTAATAAGTTTTATTATGGTTCTTTCCAAGAAATCATTGTACATACATTATTTCGAAAAAGCTAAACGACCAGCGCCGTACATAAGTTTACAAAAGTTTCGTTTTAATTAACTTAGGCACTGACCACTAAGATACTGTCCATTACTCAAATAATTATAGTTGCATCTACATACAGGAACTGACCACTAGGATACTGTCCATTAATCTAATCCAATCTCCGCCTTCTTTGCTTTTGCAACAAACTTCATATAACTCAGAGTTAGAGAGGCTGGAAATTCAAATTCAAGAACATCAGTTGCACCAATAATTTAAATTTGTATTGTAAATATGCATCATACCTTCCATTATGCCCAATTTTTTTTGTTCGATATCCTTCATTTCTTGCAGTACTTGCTCAATCCTTTTGAAAGTGCCGACTTGTTGTTCAAGGCGGTCAACCTGCTCCCGCATCAATTTCGTCTGAGGTCCATCAGAAAAAGCCGATTTCCTGTTTGCAAACAGTTCTCGTCGAGCGGATGTGACTTTTGAAGACGAAGGAGTTGGGCGTGGAGTAGAAATGGGAGGAGTAATTGTCCTCCTTTGTTTCACAATTACTTCATTGTCACTTGTAACGTACATCTCGACCTCCTCATTAATTTCGATTGTGTCTGGGTCAAATAAGACCATGCTGCTACTTATAGTCGCAATACAACTTTCGGGTTGGTCCGTGCCTTTGTGGTCAGTACCGCCTGGTTAAAAATAAAGTGATTTGGAGTCTATGGATTTCTTCCATTTATAAATATTTTATACTTACAAATTTTAGGTTTTTTACAATCATTCGCCGCATGTCGTATCTCGGTTTTAATTTCTCCAGTATCAATACCACCGGGAACTCCATATATTGATCTTTTCGAAATGGTGGACAACAATTTCTCCTCGTCCGGTTCCAGTTCGTCCTCTTCGTCACTCCCCCCCACCAGTTTTCCCGATTGCTTTTTTGTTCCCTGCAGCCTTGTTTTTAGTTTCTCGCCTCAGATTCATTATTTTTTTCTTAATTTGATCCAACGTCCGGTTGTTTCCACCAACTGCATTCACAGCATCGAGAATATCATTCCATTTACGCTTCTTTAATCTTGCCCCATCCGAATCTGAAAAAGTTCCTTGAAGGATATTGCAATACTCCGAATAAAGGTTAATTAGTGTCGTTTTCTCCTCGTCACTAAAACACTCCGACTTTTTTTTGGGACTGAAACTAAGAAAAGCATTAATGTTCCACTGTAACGAGCACTGTCCACTAAGGAGCTGACTATAACCACATTATTTTAACCCACCTTTGTCATTGGCAGACATTTCTTGCAATTTGGTCTCTAATTGACCTGGCATGGGCTGAAAATTGGCCTGCATTTAATTGATCAATCGGATGGTCTTCGTATATTGGAATCACTGTATAGTCTCTACAACGTTCGTCCTCTTCTGTTAGTGGTATTTCTTTCAGCACGCAGAAATTATGCAGCACCAAACTCGATACAATCAGTTTGCAAACTTTCCCCTCGGAATAACACGACACACCTCCGGTTCTGTAGATTAAGGCAAGCACAAAAAATATTAACTTTCCATTATTTGACTATGCTGCACTGACCACATAGGTACAGACAGACAATGCAAATTATAATTTAAACCACAGACATCAAAACAAATTGAATCATACTTGCACATAGACCTAAAACGCGATTTCCAATTCCCAATGGCCCTCTCTACAACACTCCGTGTCTTCTTATGGACTTTGTTGAACCTCCTTTTGTAGTCCTCTTGTACCGTGTCAGGGTACGGTGTTAGAAGCCAAGGTTCCAAAGGGTATCCGGAATCTCCTAGAAAATAATAAAGAAATGCATAATATGGTCAGTGCCTCTGTGGTCAGCATCGTTAAAGTTAAAAATCATAATCTCACCTAAAAAAATATCCTTCACCAAATTCTCCGTTTTTTAACCTGTGACGAACGCTCGAATGATTCCAGATGAAACTATCGTGTGTGCTGCCTGGCCACCTTACTACATCGTCAGTTATAAAGTAGTTGAAATTTGCTACCACCTGACAATTAATCGCGTGTTGCAACTTTCGATTAACATAAGCAAATTCATCTTGATTTGGTGCTTTTATATTTAATTAATTAAAGATATTAATTTAATTTCCGTGAAAAGAGAGCGATTTGTTGACTTTCACAACTTTTAGTATGCACAGATGAGCGGTGAGACAACTTTTAAGCGTGGTCCGGAGGTGGCTTAGAATTTCGCTCACTTTTTGTCTCAAATTTTGATTTGAGACGGGTTCGTGATTGAGCGATTACGTAACTCATGCTCATTTACGGTCTCACTCAAAAACGGTTTCAGTCTCAGTCTCAAAACGGTCTCAAGTTGCAATTCGTGATCGGCCTCACCCGCTCTCACGCGGTGAGACCATGCTCAAAGTCTTACATGATCCGGCTCCTGAATTCCTCTAACTTCCAATGGCGGGAGTTCTGCGGGTCCCATGGGATTCCACCTTAAATTGTATGTATGTACATATGTATAACGTTTATTAAGCAGTATTAAAACTAATTTTATTTTTCCACGGTACATATAATTGTATTACAGGAATTTACAATGTTTACCAGGAATATTACCGTAACCCTATAGATTCCCATTTCAACACTGGTAAATACGACAATTGTAAGACAAGGGTACTAAATAAATATTTGAATTAACTCGTTGAACAAGTTTTAAGTTGAGAATCATAATTTATGATTCATAAATAAATCTATGCATAATTATAATTAACTAAGGATATAATTGCCTGAAGTAATTTTGCAGGGTAGGGTATCCTTTAGTGTTTTTCTCTTGAATTATTCCTGAATCTTTACAATTTCTCTGACCTGATCAGTATCGAAACAGCGGAATAGAAACATCCAGCAAGAATTGTTAGAACCTGTAATTAAATATGAAGTACTTTAGCTTTTTGAATGTGGTTTAGGTATCTTTGCAACTATTTTCTGTTCTAGCGTTCCTCCTCTTACCCCAGAAACCATTTTATTGACATGCTTATACGGTCCGATACCAATGCTAAGGCATGTCCAGAAAGTAACTTAACAGTACAAAACGAGACGCTTTATTGCGATCCCGCGAAACTATAAAATTTAAATTTATGGCATTCGAAACACAAATAATGATAGTCGAAGTCACCAAAGTTTGAAAACGATCCGACTTAAATGAACAAAATGCGGAGGGGTGAGAGTCAGGACTCGCAAAACGTGTTTTTCCCTGCTACAAAAATGTGGCTGAACGAAATAAGAAAAAAATGCAAGACAATTTTACTGCTTGAATTACCTCTAAATTCATAATCTATCTCAGTATTGGAAGGTATGAGGAGGCTGCTGAAGTAAGATTGAAACACTTAAAGGCCAAACCCCCATGAAATCCTCCCCCAAAGAGGTACGTTTAGTTTCCATTAATTTTAACATGCATATTGCCATATCCCTTAACAATTTTCGTCAATAGTTGGAAATGGATGCTTCTACAATGTTCCGAATTGAAGCCCATATAGTAGGCTTCAATGCTCACACAAACAAAAAATTTCCAAGTTATGTCGAGGATCAAGAGAAATGAACAAAGACTAGTTTGTGAAAAGTGCACCAGAATGCTGGAAGAAATTGATAATCATTTACGATGGAACTTAGGTCACATTTGACCCGTCTAAATTTCCGAAAGACAACTTTTTCAATGCATTAGATCATAATAATGAGGTGGATTATGAACCGAAACAAAACAAAATAACAAAATCCCCCAAAACTGATTAATTTTTCAAGCCAAGGATGAGTTTGGGGATATTTGGGAACCCCATAAATCAGTGACGTGTATGACCACAACGTGTCTCTGCAGGAGTTTGTACAAAAACCGTTATTACCCTACATATATAAGCATTGGAAAATGGAAGATATCTTATTTTGATCGGACTTATCAACGTTTCAGATGCAAAACTATGACAAGCTACTTGGCGGAAAAAACTTTGAAAATGCGCCCAAATACATTAAGCCACCAAATGTCTCTCAACCTCGTGACATTGGAAAGTTTTGGCTTGCCTGCAAATAGCAATACTCTAATCGAGATCAGGAGCCAAAAAATTTACAAGGTTTCAAAGTAATTCGATCGAAATTTCCAAAGCTGTAACGGAAAAAGTGGGAAGAAAGCGTTTGGTTCATACCCGGTGTGCCACAAAGGCTCTTGAAACAGTTGGCAAGTAGTCGCCACCGGCGGCAAAGAGTCGCAGATTTTGCCGACATCCAGCCGAGTACTTGCCACCGCTTTCCCGCCGCCATTTTCACTCGGCAAACCAGTGTATTTGCCGGACTTAATCTGTCTACTTGCCGTCGACGGCCCATCCCAGGCCATAGCAAGCTTTAAATGGTATTTAAGATTTTGCTTCTGGCCACATTCTTGCCAACTACGGCCCGACTCGAATGAGATACCAAAATGCCCCAACTCTTACTTAAAGTAGAGGAAACTTAAAAACCTCCACACCGTCAACATTCTGTCCATCAAATCAGTATTTTGTCTTTATTCCATTAAACGTACTTTGTCATGATTAAATTTGCAGTAGTTATATTTCCCGACGAAGATAACGCCATTGACGTTATATCGTCATCTTGGATTCTTCCGCCACTTATTGCAAATGGGGGGACCCAAGTGAAGAACTGCAGATATCCACCATCAAAAGTTCGAGGTGCAAAACTAGCCAAACTTGTTTGCAATCATCAACCCCCATCTTCGGATTGGTTGGTCTGTTCTTGTCGAGTTTTGAAAGAGTATGGTAAGCAGTTTGTTGCAAAAAAGTATATGGCAAAACTAATTATTTGCTGTTATCTATGTTATTTTCTAGACAATTATTTGACCGCCCGTGAAGCATCAATTAGGGCGGAAGAAACTTCCAACTTGGAGCCATCTTCCGTTGAGGAGGCAGATTCTAGGCGAATCCGAAAACGCATACAAAACAAAGTAAAGCCGCCACCGTGTAATTCCAATAGCAACAAGCTTCAAAAAATAATTGCTGTAGCCGAAGATTCTAGCGACGAATCCAACACGTTGGAGGACGACAACCCGACAACTTTTTGCCTTGGATTAGTTAGAGAAACAGGTAAACCGGAAGGGTGTAACCACTAGTTTACGTCGCCAGTTCATAGTTTATGTTAATTTAAATCATTTAATTAGTATTATAAATAATTAATAATTTAAGTTATGATATTTTTTTCTGTTTATATAATAGCCGATTTGGAAAGGGGCGGTTATGAAGGTGCAGCTAATGACAACACATTATTTGCACCACCTCATGGACAAATAGAAATATACCCAGGAGGAGGAGATCAAAACACTTCCGCAACCCACCAGGCAGAGGATGTCGAGTTTAAAAATCAGTTCGTACAGTTTCTAGAGGAAAATAGAAGTATGATAATATTCGTATGAATAAAATACGATTGTGTGTATTCTCCTTTCTATTATATTTATACTATGGAATTAACTAACTTTTTTATTAGAATTTCAAGATGCGGTGATTTCCAAGCTAGAAATAATTTCTAGTAAGTTGAAGCACATTAATCTTGGGACGACGTGTGCAAAAAATATTAAATTGACTGGAGCCCCGCTACTGCCTTTAACCAGCAAGGATGGTTTAGCTTCCCTCATAACCTGGCTTGGTATTGATAAAAATAGTGACCTAATGGTACCAGAGAATTTTAATGCGTACTTTATTTATTATGCGTACGCTGGGTATGACCTAATCTATTTATTAACGACAGATCGATTATCTAAGTCTACACGGAGGAGAAAATGTTTCTGCAGTAACCGGAAGCATTCTTTCTGAAATATTTACGAACCAGTTCGCAACAGTAGTTAGCTTTACTGGACAAGGACAAAAAGCGGTTTGTGGCATAAAGGACTCAATATTACCTAAATTAATCACAAGTACGTTAATAAAATTTATTCTCGAAACCATCTTATAATTAAAAATGATTAAGTGTTCTGCAACGATTTTCTAGAGTCGGTGCGGTCAAATAAAGGCTTTAGCCAAGCAACAGATTTCGAGGTGAAGCAGGCAATAATAAACTGGTTGAAGAACGCTGGTGACAGAGGTGGGGGTCGAGCAGCTCGTCGTCAACGTCATTTGACAGGATGAATACAGTCACCCCGAGAACGGAATTACGCCGCAGAAGAAAAGCAACATCACGTATATTGCAATTTATTAGAAGTCAGACGATAGGAAATACTGTGCCGACATTATTATTTAGTGAAGAAATTGTAGAGCCACCAGTGAATGTTCAAATAGTTGAAACTGAAATAAGTAGCGCTGAACCCTCAGATTTTGTATTAGACAACAGTCAAGTAAATGTTGAGTCAGATATCAATTTTCCTTTACTTTTGCCAGATAGTCTTCGTCTGTGGGCTACAGCACATAATGTTACACATATGTGTCTCCGAGAACTGATAACCATTATAAATCCACATATTAACAATATTCTTCCTCTCGATCCTAGAACATTAATGAAAACGCCACGACAGATAGTTATAGAAAAGCTAGGTGGAGGTGAACTAGTTTATTTCGGTATAAAAAAAGGTGTGGAAAGACGGCTAAAACTAAAATTATCGGATTGCAATTTTCCAATTATTAAAAAATGGCAGCATGAGTCTATTTCGAAAATTATTTCAATATCAGTTGGTATTGACGGGGTACCGATTTCTCAAAGTAATACTAAGTCGTTTTGGCCAATTCTTGGTATGCTGGACCAAGCTGTAGATTCAAGTCCATTTATTATTGGATTATTTTGCGGCATGTCAAAGCCAAAAGATACTTTATTTCTTAAACAATTTGTTGACGAAGCATTAGAATTAGAAAGGACTGGTATTTTATTTAAAGACTTACAATTTGCATTTAAAATATCTTGTATAATAGCTGATGCACCAGCTAGAAGTTTTATAAAAGGGTGCAAACAGCATAATAGCTACAACTCGTGTGAAAGATGCGAACAGGAAGGTGAATGGCTTGGAAGAGTAATTTTAAGAGAGACAGTATGTCCACAGAGAACGGATGATAAATTTATTAAAAAAACGGATGCAGATCATCACACATACGACAGTGAATTGCTGAGATTAAATTTAGGCCTGGTGTCACAAATAGTACTTGACCATATGCATTTAGTTTTTCTAGGAGTAACTAAAAAATTATTGAACATTTGGGTGAAAGGTAAATTGCCGCACCGACTTAGTTCACAACAAGTTTTAATTTTATCTAGAAATTTAATTCGACTTAGACCTTTTGTATCCCGTGATTTTCAACGCAAACCTCGTGGGCTCGACGAACTAAATCATTTCAAGGCCACTGAATTTAGACTTTTTTTGCTGTACTCTGGAATAGCAGTATTAGGCGAGACACTTCCACTAAATAAGTTTAAAAATTTTCTAAAATTACAAGCAGCGATGTCAATATTATTATCTCCTAATGCAAGTATAAAATCGTGGAATGATGTAGCCAGGTCGTTGCTCATACAATTCGTAAAAGAAGTTGAATTAATTTACGGTCCAGAATTTATGATATATAATGTGCATTCAATTATACACATTTGTGATGATGCATTGAATTTTGGTAATTTGTCCAGGGTCAGCGCATTTCCTTTCGAAAGCTATATGCAGAAACTAAAAAGCATGCTGCATGCTAAAAATTATCACCTGAATCAAGTAGCGAAACGCTTACAAGAAATTGAGGCAATTGATTTTGCGACAAAAATTATGAAATCTAGTACGCAACAGTTTTCTAATAGTAAATATGATAATTGTTTCTACTTAGGAGATGGTACTTATGTAATATTAAAATATATTAACCTATCCATAAAATATGCAGAGTTTTACGAGGTTATAAAACTTGATAAATTTCCGGAATATCCATTCAATAGCTTAACCGTAAATATATTTCTAGCTAAAATTACGACTAATGTGAGGATTGTTAATTACAGTGAAGTTATGTATAAATGTTTACTTTTACCTTATAAAAATATGTACTTGTGTTTACCACTTCTTCATACTTTAAAATAAATAACAAATGAAAAAGTAAATAATATGTGCAATTACTGGTGGCATTTGGATGGGTATAAGCATTTCCGCAGGTCTGAGCCATGGTCTTGCCACCGGTGGCAAGCCGGTATCAAGTTGGCGTGCCAACTGGAATACGAAGTTGGCCCGTACGCGATCGCCACCGCCAAGCCACCTATGGCCATTCGGACATTTCCTGCAGTTTGCCGACCCATTTTGGCCGCAGCTGCGCCTACTGCGGCCCTGCTAGTTTGGCAAATCGGGTCACCATTGACCTTCATTGACTTTTTTTTGTTTGACTTTTTTGAATTCTTTTGTCGGGAATCGATAATTAGGGTCAAAAGTAACCCTTAATTAGTCACGTTGGTCACACCCCCGAGGGGGAGGGGGTCGTCAAAGGTCACAATATGTCTTATGACGACCCCTGTCAATAAAACGCTCTGGAGAATTGCTGTGGCTACTTGGGTAAGTGTGTACTTTCTGCCCCAACCGCCATGCAAAAATTTGAACTTTGACCCCATATTGTGAAAAAGTGTATTGGTATTCGCACGAGTTTTTTTGAGCTAAATAATCCTAATTTTTTAAACTATTTTTTGATACTTACCTGAACCGGGAGATCCGTGGAGCAAAGGAGATCTCAGCCACCAATGTTATCCTTATGAGATTCTTCAAATTTAGGACTGGCAGTAAAAAACTCGAATCCAGCCAGTGTGAGCTGTGGGAAAAAACGCCTTCCTCCCTTAAACTCGGTTACACCGGCATCTTGTCCCCAGGTGGCTCAGCTTTTAATGTCACGTCCGAGATAAAAATCGAGATCTATCAGTTCATGGGTTTCTGCGGGCCATTATTTGTACTCAAATCCGTGTCCATGAAGACCATAGCGTATGACAGATTTGGATTTGAATCGTCCCCCAAACATTTCTATAAACGCTGAACCCGTGGCCGGACTAGGAACGCCGACAATTGACTTGTGAGCAATCCGGGTTTAAATGGTGTGCCGAAAATTGGCACGTTTTTCTCCAGGATCAGGTTCAGCAGAAGGCAGAACTCTTCTCCACTAACTAGGTTGCAGAATCCTGTACAGAATGCATAAATATGAACGAAATTTTATGCAGAAAATATGTCTCAATTTTCGCCAGGCTATTTTCACCCGGGAAATGACTCAAAAATTTTTGTGAGGGATGGACTTTAACTTTTCTGTTTTGTTTTTCCAGCTCTCCTGCCGACTCTTGTAAACCAGAAATTATGTGGATTTATGTCTCCAGCATGTCAAATATTGCCGCATCTTCCCCCACAGGAATTAAACGTGATACCAGGAAAGAACAAGCTGCATGGATGGAACGTCGAGGTGAATGGTATCACGCGGAATATGCGGGATATGAAAAAATTGAGCACGAAATTTTCGACACATATTAATCCCACTGCCACGGGACAATTTGATTATTGGGGGTCGTATAAAACTATTTTGAGCTACAATGTGTCTTCCGGAATTAACACTGATCCTACTCAGTTGCTGGGAAGGTGTGGGTATCAATTTTCAATCCCGTTCCAACACTATAAACGAGTCGATTCTGACCGTTTGGGAAATGAGTGTTTGTCAAGCTTCTGGCTCTAGGATCTCAGTAAATTTTCAGAGGGAGGAAAGTATTTTTGACAAGAAAACCATTCCAAGAATATTTTAAAATATGCTCAATAGTTTAGTTTCTTTTATGACAATACTTTCTTAACCTCTTTTTGACCGCAACTTCAAAGCCCTTTTTGCCACTAGCGCCCGAATTTGATTTTCAAAACTGATACAAATTCGAGAAAAATTCAAAATTATTTGAGATTAAAGTTTGCCATTAATTATAAAATTATTAGTCTATCTCTGAAATAAAATTTATTTATTTATTTCATTTATTTATTATACATTTATTATTATAGTTCATTAACCATACGTCGAATTTTTCATAATATCCAGAATCCCATTGTAAACCAAAATATCGGCGTCTTTCGCAAGGGCAAAATCCAGATGGGTGAAGAAAGGCCAGTCCACTCGGTGAATTTCTTTCAAATTTTTAAACTTTAAAGCTGATTTTGCCACATCCTGATATAAAAAACACCATTTCAGATTTTAAGGTTTTATTCATACTTCAAATAATCAAGTGTAGTCACTCGGGTTTAAATTTCCTGGTGTTAATCTTGTGAAAATTTCATGGCATAAATTATGTGAAAATGAAAAGAAAAACTTTATGAAAACTTTGTGAAAACTTTATGACGTCCATTTTATGAAAAAGTCATTCTGCCCCCAGTAGACGACAAGGGGGGCCGAGATTCTGTCCAGATTGTAGCATGGCGACGTATCCTTGCCATACTTTAGGCGATTAATCCAACTGAATCCGTAGTTAAATTGGCAGAATGTATTGGATTTTATGAACTGAAAAAAATGTGTTAACGTCTTGGTCGACGTGGTTTCTGGGAAGGTTCCCAATGCTTGGGTAAACGTAGTCTGAAAAAATTTTATATATTTATTTTTTTCGAAAATCTGAAAATTTTCGCAATTCGAGAAATAAATGCGTAAAATATGTACATAATTGGTTTGAGGAGCGTCATAGCCGCCACCAAGGAAGAGCAGATTGCCACAGAAACCTGAGAAATGGGCACTTGAAATAATTACCGAGTCACCATTAGGCTCAATCGTTTCTAGTGGAGCAGAATAGCGAATTTGCACGGTAAGAATTGTTGAATTAATTTATACTATGCAAATTACCACAGGCACCTTCCTCTCTCAGACAGACCTCTTCTGGTCGTCGTCCCACGGCCTGCTTCAGTGATTTGTAGGCGTCAAGTTTACCATGCACAAACTTATTAAAAGAATACTGCAAATACAAGTCAAATATAAATACGGTGTTTACTCAACAGAAATATATATCGGGTCACAAATATACAGGGTGGTCCAAAAAAAGATGACAATGCGCAACTTGGTTACAATTTTGTTATTTATATCCCATACCCGAGCGGCACATCAGGTAAGGATTACTTACGGTATCTAAGCGCCTGATGGGAGATGAAATACGACACCATTCGTTACGAATTTAGGTAACGATAGAAGATGCTGTTGATTCAGCGCTACCATTTTGGTAACGAAATATCGCTACCGAGCAAGTCTGCACCATAACCCAACCAATT